GGGGGGGGGGGGGGGCCCCGGCGATTTCAACAGACTGCCCGAGGCCAGCATGAAAGACGCTCAGGACAGTTAATGGGCCACTGCTGTGCGTCGTCGTGAAAGCTTATCATTTGCATGTGTTTTTAAGCCTTGTCATTTTAAACATTCAAGAGATTTTAAAGCATTCAAGCATAAGAAGAAGTGCAAGTACTCATGCATTGTTCGGTGCACACACAGAGAGCCGCGTCTCGCAGCCAATGATCATCGAATTGAGTTTCAAAATACCCGTCTTGGCGAGTATCCTCGAAAAACTGTTGGCTATGTCTTAAGTGAACGCAAACAGTTGTGTCAACAATCTGATGTGTATCGTTAGATTAGAGCCATGCATTGTGTCTTAAAGTGACCACGCCTAATTTACTTGCTGCTGTTGGAGTCCTTAACCTCTCAATTCAAGACGCTTTCTACATTGCTTAGCCACTTGTATACCATTTTTTTTCAAAATTCATACCGTGTGTGTGATTCAAACCGGTTTACTGTTTGAACCGGTATATCGCCCAGCACTAATTGCAAGTCGGTGGTGTAGAGTAGAAAGCCACTAACAAAGGCCTAGTTTCAATGGTCGTGTTTTATAATGAATGGCCACTGGGTTAAGATAGATGAGGCCATTTTATAACCCTTTCAGAAACAAACAGCTGACACTCACGAAAGTCTAGAGTAAACGCGTCCCATAACAGACAGTGATGCTAAAACCACACAACCGCATCTGGCCGCGAGCACTTACACATGAACCAAATGCTATTGTTCGTTTTCCCCTTTTAGCTCTTTTTGGCCTTATTGAATGTCTAATACAGTATAACTACAACGTTTTTTATTGTTTGCCTTGAACTTTTGTGTTGTTTTTCTGTTTCGCTTATTACTCGTGTGTTATTTTGGAGCATGGTTGAGTTTGTGAACTATTGATATGATTGTGCTGGAAAGGAGCTAAATGAAGTTGGAACGGTGCGGTTTAGGATTGCCGGCAGCCTGCCACGGCTTGCCAAACCCTCAGACAAAAGCTAAAGGAACAGCACTGGTGGAGCGTTGTGTTCACCACAAGCCCTGTTATGTAAAGATCCCTCTATAATTAAACTATTACAGCCGAAAGGTCGACTCTGGGGAGCAAAAAATAAGATCTCACAGTCCAAAAAGAGTCAAGTGTTAGAACAATCTCCTGACATTTTTAATCCTATTTTCCACCACAACACATTAAAAAAAGGAATGTGTTTCTTGGAAGTCATTATTCTGGATCATTTTGCATATAAATTAGAAACATATTGCATATATATAAAACTTACAAACTTTTTTATTACTTTACTTAAAATATATAACCAATATGTTTTAGAGAAAAATTATTATATCCACGAATAGTCATAATATTAATGATAATGTTAATATATAATCATTATTAATGATTTTCAAAATGATATCCAGTATAATAACTTGTATATTATTATATATACAACATTTAGAAACATTGTTTTATTATTTGACTTTAGTTATATATAACTGAATATGTTTTATTACAGAAAAATAAGTATTCTCTGTTAAAGTGCCCCTATTGTGCCATTTCGAATGTTGCCTTTCATGCGGTGTGTAATGTAGCTGTATGTGAATGCAAACAATCTGCAAAGTTGAAAACCCAAAAGTGCACGATAAATAAAGTTTTTCTCTCCCAAAAGAAAGAATTGTCGTTAGTAATTCGAATCCCTACACGACACGAGGTAAGACATTTGCATAATTCCCGCCTCAACAACTTGACCCGCCCTCAAACACGTCATTTTACTGACGACTGCTTCTCTAATCAACCCGGGATCAGTGTTGCCAGACGTACGATAATTATCGTATTTGTACGATAATTTTGACCTCTGTACGATGTACGATCAATAATGAAAAAAATCCCATAACGTACGATAATTTCGAAATTTCAGAACGTGTTTTTTCGAAAGTCAACCTCATCAAAACAAAGCCATGAAATCGGCTCATTACAGACGCTCTAAATGGGTTGGTGCACACCTCAGGACCCTCAACATCTGGCAACACGCAGGATTCTGAGTTTGGACCTTCCCGCAAGGTACGCCTATGGCCCTATGATTTCCGCGATGCGGAATACACGGATGGAATTGCGGAATCCAGTCAACGGAATTTACTGTATAACGCGGAATGTCACGGAATTTGTCAAAGTTTGGATGAATTAATCAAAGGAAGGTCATTACACTTAAATCGTGATATGGACTAGTATCTGTAAATATTAAGCCGCAAAAAGGCTATTTAAATATAAATCCTGCATGTTCTGTGTCTGTCTGAATCATAGTCTATGGTCTGAATGAATGTCACGCGGTTTTGTTTACTACACACATACTGAAGCGCGCATAATGCTCGCGGTGATTTCAGCATCTGCCTTCTCACTAAATAGGACATAAATACATGAACAACATCCCCAGAACTGCTCTGAGAGTCAAAAATATATAGTTTCTGCCAGAAATGTACTATTGTTCAGTAGAATGTACGTACAACTACTACTACTAAAATTAAGGAATAATCACAATATTTCTTCCATGTTTTAGTTTTAATTTTGTTTTAATTTAATTTTGTTTGCCAACAAATAAAATTTGTTTAATTTTCATTAATTAAAAGATCAATTAAATTAATGTGTTATGCCTTCATTCGATAACCAGAAAAATTAAAATACACAATGCAGAATTTCTAAAGAAAAAAAACATAAGGCTATAAATAAAAGTAGTTTTTATGCATTCAAACAATTAGACATTAAAACACAGAATTTGGTAACAATAAACAAGGAGAACATTTCATAAGACCCTACACATGTAATTTTTGTTAAACTTTTTAATAGATTTGATGTTGAATTGTATGTTTCATTATTTAATTAGACGTGCTTTTGATTAATAAAATTTAATTTAACAATTTAAAAAGGAGTCCAGAAAAATTAAAATGGAAAAAAAAACTGAATCCAAAAAAATTTAAATTTGGAATAAAAAAAAAAAACGTATTTCATACGTAACGTAACGTATTTCATAGGGCCCTAGCATAGTTATTGATTTATTGTGGTGATTTGAAGGTTGTGTCAAAAAGTTGTTGTTCTAATCTAGTAGATAAATAGCTGTATTCTGTACGTTTTTTCTTGTGTATGATAATTTTCTTCCAAATACGATAATTTTGAGCTTCTGGTACGATACTTGGACATTTCCAATCTGGCAACACTGCCCAGGATTCACAAAACGCTTGCTCTTGAAAGACGGCTCAGCACCCAATTTATTTGGACCAGCTGGCTCCACTGAATCACATCCTGTAAGTATGATAAATAATGTTCAATTTTTCCATCGAGCATTCAAAATACAGAGCTATGGCAATCAGTGTATCGTTTCCGAAAGGAGGGGCTTAGAAAGACTGAATCTTTGAACTGCTTCGAACGAATCGTTTGAGAATCCTTGGAAAATGAGGTGATATTAAATGCATATTCTGAGACAACAAAAGTGTATTTTGACCTTGCATGCATGTAAACCTATTGAAGGAGACTCCCAAAACAATATTAGGAACCTTAAAAATGACATAATAGGGCACTTTAAATGTGTTAACACAAAAACTGTTGTTAATTAATAGTCTTTTTACTAATAATTTCTTTCTTAATTCTTATTTTGACAGCACTAATATTTTCACAATACTATATATATATAATCTTTTTAACCTGTACATTCATATTAAGAAGGACATATAACTGTTTTCTTTTATTCTGACTGTCCAATCAGTGGTTAAACCAAGCGGTCTTCACCTGAAGTTGGCCCTAAAGCTCCAAGATTTTGGCAAAGCTATGTTTAAACCAATGAGGTATCACTTTTCTATTTAGATTTACATTTTACTACACTTTGGTTTAGGTTTAGGTTGAACTGAGAGAAATGGTCCTTTTTGATTTCAGACAGAAGAGACATGAAGAGACGCCGGAGAACTTCTTCTATTTTGTCGACTTTCAGAGACACAATGCTGAGATAGCAGCTTTCCACCTCGACAGGTGAGGCAGACGAACGTTGATTAGAGTCACACAGCGAAACAGGAATGACAGGACAGATAGACAAAAGCAGGAATGAATTATACAGTGAAGGATCTGATATGAGTAAACAGATGAAATCCCTCAGGCTGCACCTCAGTGGGATACTGTACATCATTGTTTAGGCCTGTTGAGACAGTGACAAAGCATATTTGGTGAGGTCTATTGTGGATGATTATATGGTGATGAAATCTTAGGGCAGACTACAACAGACATCAAGGGAATTCACTAAAACAGAGGCTATAAAACGTCACTTATGATTTACTAGGAAAGATCTTAGAGATTACAGACACAAAAACTCTTGTCAGCAATTTTCATGTTGATTTTCAAGTCCACAGCAAGTCCTTTTTTGAACATCTCATCCAGACTAGCACAGCAACATTGCTTCATCCAATAGAGTGCAACAGTCGGGTTCTGGAAGTAAAAATCCCATTCATTTTTTCCACAGGGGAATTGATTTTTGAAGCTGTTAAACACATACCTGTTTTGAGCTACAGGGTTGTAGATAGATTGTATATGCTTTTGTTGAAGTTGCGTTATTTCAACTTGTTTCTTAAATAATCCTGTTGAGCATTAGAATTATTGGTGAAAAACTACATTACCCATAATTCTGCCAATCAGAGAATCAAAACAGGCAAATCAATAGTTTTTTATATATATCCATTGTTTTTAATTCATTATGTCAATCGCAATGCTTGATGGGATTGTAGTTCTTTCACTTATCAAAGTCAGTAAGTTCACAGTCTTGTACCTTTGTCGCTTGTTAGTTCATGGCTTATAACTCTTAAACAAAATCCCTATGGGAAAAATTAATAGCAAAAATACTAGAACCTAAAAAATGGGTGGGCTCTGTTGCATAGCATGAGTTTGGGGCGGGTCTATCTATTTGATTGACCAATTGCAGATGGGGGGTGGGGGGGGGGTGTTCAGACTCATTATTTCAGCATATTGTTTGGTGACATAAGTGGCACAGATGTTACGTACTTCAATAATGCTTTAATAATGTCATTGTATTGTTAGCTATCGTAAAACATGTTGAAGAATCCTCATTTTTCTCACTGTAAGCATTTCTAATGACTGAGGTTTACAGGTCAGTGCAGTTTATTTGTGTAGTGCTTTTTACAATGCATATCATTTCCAAAGCAGCTTTACAAAGAACGCCCAACATTGAACGAG